CCACCTCCCAGCAAACCCCGAGCAGCTCAGCCCCCGGGGCCCACCCGTGAGAGGAGCCACAGCGAGCCTCGGGCTGGCCCACGCCGTCCACGCCACACACGCGTGGGTCCCGGGGGCTCCCTGGCCCAGGATGTAAGACTCTCTATCCTCCATTTGGCAGGTAAGGACCAGCACAAAGGTGGCAGCCCCCGTGGCCACCCCCATTAGGAGGATGCCGTCATGGGGACAGTGACATGGGGGTAGGGCATCTCCAGGGAGCGTCCAGCACAGCCCCCTCGACGAAGAGCCCCTAAGCAGGCCTGACCTCCCTGTGCTCGTCCACATGCGGAGACCCGAGTGGATGCCCTTCCTTGGGCTGGAGTGAGGCGAGCGTGTGGGTGACCTGCGCCAGCCGCTCTCAACACCCCTGCCCAGCCAGCAGCCTCTCTCAGGCCGCCCTGGCTTTGCCTGGTGCCCACAAATCCTCACTCTTCTGGGTGCCCCACCCCACAGGGTCCTGGCTTCGCCCCCCTCCCTCCAGCCCCAGGGGAGGCGGGGAGGATGGCCTCTGGTCTGGACGGAGCCCTCCCTCTCCTGTCAGTGCAAAGCCTCCTCCTCCAGGAAGTCCTCCCAGATCACCTCTTCCTTGGGCCCTTAGTGTCCAGGCCTTAGTTACCAACCAGCTCAGCCCCAGATGATGATTGCACTCACGCCACCCCCACCCACCCTGGCATCAGGCAAAGACGCTGGGATCCAGATGTGGGACCAGACAGACCTGGGATTCACCCTGCACCTGCTGTGGACCAGGCAGGGCCTCTCCGAGCTCTGACTCTTAGCTCTGCCACATGGATGGTGGCCCTTCCCTCCTTGGCCCCTCAGGCTCCAGATTTCTGTCCCGCCCCCTTGAAGCTGTGACAGTGGCCCACCGCCCCGGAGTCCCAGCACACCGCTGGGCCAGGAATCGTGCCTGCCTGTCCCAGGCCAGCACAGGGACAACAGGCCCTGGCCACCGGCAGAGTCCCTGGCCAGCCCCTGTGTCCTGAAATTGCTTGACATTACTTCCAAGACCAGCCCAAGCCCCAGGCAGCCCCTGTCCTGCCCCACCTAACAAGCCCCTGGCAGGGCACTGCTCTGGGTCCCGTAGCAGGGCCTTCCCACCCCTGCACTGGGGGAGGCCTCTGCCCAAGGGGCTGGTGGGAGTCCCAGCTCGGTTCTGGGGGGCCGCCCACCTATGCCCACGACCCCTCCCACCCCAGGCAGCCCGAGCCCACCCTGTGCCCACTGCACCCCCGCCCCACGCACCTCAGGGCCAACTCCACGGCTGCCTGCTGGGGTGAGGTGTGTTCCCAGACCTCCCAGCCAGCCACCACTGCCAGCTGGAGGAGCCTGTTCTCCAGGTTTGTCCCGAGGGAGTGCTGCGCCCTAAAGGTCAGTGGGGAGCAGCGGGCTCTTCCCCAGTCTCTCCACCCCGCAGGCGCTGGCTGCAGGGAAGGGGAGAAACAGGCTAGTCCGGCCCCAGGCCTGGGGCTGGAACTGCAGCTGCCCACCCCCTATGCCCCACGGAGGGCAGCAGCACCCACCTCTGCTCCACACCCCGAAGGCGCCTGCCCAGTCATGGACACAGGCCCGCAGCAAGGCTGGTGCCCAGCAACCCGTGTCTCTCCACCCCCACCACTGGGTGGGCATCTCAGCCTCGGTGGCCCCTCTGCCATTCTCCAATAGTGAGAAACACCCGCTCCTCCTTATAGGATGGGGATACACGGGGGTCCAGCGAAGGCTCTGCCTGGGAGTACCCCACCCCACAGTCCCAGGGCAGGGGTGCACCCAGCCCGGTGTCCGGCCGGCCTCGGATGACCCTGAGCCCTGGGATTGGGCGGGAGGGGTCACACAGTGAGACTGCCTTGGCTAGAATCAGGGGCCTCGAGCTGGCCCCCCTTGCCCCTCCTTCCTTCTTCCAACAGGTGCTCCTGAGCCAGGCTCGACGGCACAGCAGCCACCCAAGCAAGAAGCCCGTGTTGGGTGAAGCCGGCCTCCCAGGAAAGGGACACAGACCAGCTGGCCACTGGCTTGCCCACCAGTCAGCTGGGTGGGGCTGTGGAGGGTGGGAGATGAGTGGGGGAGCTGGGAGAGTGAGGGGAGCAGTAGGGCCATGCCCACCCTCCAGGCCAGGCTCAATGAACGTCCCGGAGGAAGGACCGATCTGACAATGGGAGGAAGTGAATGAATTTGGTGGTGATGTAATCGGGAAGAACATTTGTATTCTACTATAAGTTAATCACTACAGGGATGTTGCCTGTAAGTGGAAATTCTACATAATGGCCCATCGCTGTGAACCCTGCTTCCCAGGTAGTGAGCATTAAGCTAAATACCTTCGTTTAGCTCACAGGAAACATCCTGACCAGGCCCACGTGTGAATGACTGCAGGGAGGAAGAAATTCACACACCGCCTCCTGGCTGACGGGAACCAGGAAATGTTTGACTTTATTCCCTCCCCTCTTAGTACAAAAGGAACCTGAATTCTAACTCAGGCACAGTGGTTCTTTGGAGCACGGGCCCACCATCTTCTCGGTCTGCTGGCTTTCCAGATAAAGTCATTACGCCTTGTCCCAACAACTCACCTCTCTATTATCGGCCTGTTGTGCGGCGAGCGGTACGAGCTTAGACTCAGCCTGCGTCTGCTGATGCGCGCAGAGTATACGCTTAATATCGGCATCTCCATTCCGGAGACCAGAAAACTGAGGCCCGGCGGTCAGACGATGCGTGTGAGAGGTCCCAGTGGGTGAGGTCAGCGGCCGAGGTCACAGCAGCTCCCTGGCTCAGCACGCTCAGTTTGTACACAGCAGCGGCCATCAGGGCCCCACGCTGGGGCTGGACCCCGGTCAGATACCTCTGCCCGGCGCGGGTGGCCGCTTCCCCGAAGTCCACACGGCTCTTCCCCTTCCTGTCCCAGGAGCCAGGACAGAAGTCACACGGTGAGGCCTCCAGTAAGAGCCCTCGTCCCTCCAGCCCATCCGGAATCCCAGAGCCCGAGAACACAGCGGGCAGCGCACAGGGCTCGGGCTTGCCTGGCTGCCAGGGGACCCGGAGAGCTGACTTCTGATGAGGCAGAGACTCCTGTCTGTCCCTCCCACCCGCCTTCCCTCTGAAACCACCTCGTCTCCCTCCCTGGCCGTGTGGCCATCTCTGCACCCGGCGAGTCAGCACTCTGTTCTCCTTTGGTTCTGATCCAGATTCACTCTTTGGGGTGAAATTCACTCCCCAATCCATAATTCTACCCGCTAACGTGGTGGAGCAGATGGGCCCACGGCACCATCTGCTGGCCATTCTGGGCTCTGACCCCCAAACTCAAGTCACAGTAGGGGCCCTGGGGCACCAGCGGCAACCCCAAACAACCAGCCCCGAGGCAAGTGAGGACACCGGGGAGATCTGAACCCAGCTGGACCCCAGGCCGCACATCCCCAAGAACAGACGCTCGGTAACACTGTTTCTGGCCTTGCCCTGCCCAGTACGGCTGTGCTGGTTAGAAGACTGGGAAGGTGCAGTTCTGGGCAGGGAGCCGGGACCAGCCAGTGGGGGAGGTGCCCTGGGCAGGCCCCACCCCTCAGGCTTCCCTAAGGAGCCAGCCGGTGACCCTGAGGAAGGGGACAAGACCTCTTCCAGATCTGACTCGGTGCCGGTGGACACTGCATCCATCTGTGCAAGCCCATAGGCCAGGGGGTCTCAGGGGCCAGCCTGTTAGTTAGGCAGAAACTTGTGAGGCCTCAGGGTCTCCACCTGGCCCCCGCCCGAGGGCGCACCCCTGGCTGCAAACCAAAGCAACAGGTGGCCTCTGCGACTAGGAAACTGCGTACACAGACAGGGGCACCGCTCCAAAGCGACACGGGGGCTTCGGTAGCAGGAGGCACTGCGGGACCACGCAGGTCCTGCCCCTTCCCTCTAAAAGGTGCCTGCCTGCCCCTGGTGGAGGCCCAACAAGCTCTGAGCCTGTCCCCAAGGCCTGGCTCTGTGTCGCTGAGCTGTGCCAGCCTGTGCACGCACCCACAGCTGACGCCCAGGTATGGGAGAAGTGAGGCCAAGAGCTACAGCCTGTCTCAACACACGCCCTCCCGGCCGAAGTCAGGGGGGCCCCGTGGCTCCCCCGCCCCCTCAGCCCACTTGCCTTCTTTCTCTCCTGCTGGGCCCACAGCTCCCCTTAGTGCCCACAGGACAGGGCCCTCTGGTCTGTCTGGGGTATCCCTGCACCCCCTCCACTGGGGCACACATACAGATGCCATGACCTGCTCCAGACCCAGAGCCCTCAGGGCACCCCCACTGCCTCCTCCCACTGCTCTCCCCCCAGGTCCCTCCCCCGGCCCTGGAAGTTCCCCAGGCCCTCTTCGGTCCCCTCTCTGAGAGCAGCTGGGAGGGGTCAGGGGTCTGCACTTGTGGGGCCTGGGCAGCCGCCAGTAGAAACACCGCGGTTCAAGAATCAGAGCTCCCTGCTCCGCCCCAGGCCGCAGAGCACCTTTCCTGTGCCCGCAGTGGGGGTCGCGGGGATGAGAACACACGAGGTGCCAGCGCCCCGCAGAGGGTACTGCAGGGAGGGAGACGAGCGCCCTCCTTACTTCCGGCCCCAGGGGACGGGCAAGTGCCTCCCCACCGGGCGTCAGCACGCCCCCTCTAGCTCTGATGCCTCTCGCAGTACCTGGGGGCTGTCGCCGAGGCCGCTCGCCACCCTGCGCCGCTCAACCCCCTACCCCGCGCACCCGCCCCCTCCCGCACTGCGCCCGCTCCTCATCCGGGCCGCGTTCGCCCCGTACGGACCGCGCACGGAACCCACGGCCCTACCACGCGCTGGCCCCCGTCAGCCCGCAGCAGGCCCCGCCCCGCAGCAGGCCCCGCCCCGCAGCAGGCCCCGCCCCGCAGCAGGCCCCGCCCCGGAACGCACGCGCGCCGTGACGCACAAGATCTGTGACGCACAAGGTCTGCGCCGCACGCCGAGCCAGCGCCATCAGGAGGCGCCGCCGCGTGGGCGTGGCTATCCGCTTTCCCGCAGCCGCAGGTCATCAAGATCTCCCCGGTCACCGCGATCTCCCCGGTCTCCACGGTCCCCGCGGTCCCGCAACCCTAGGCCATGGCCCCCGCGGCCGCCAGCCCCCCGGAGGTAGTCCGCGCGGCTCAGAAGGACGACTACTACCGCGGCGGGCTGCGGAGCGCGGCGGGCGGCACCCTGCACAGCCTCGCGGGTGAGCCCCCGCGGGGCCGCGGGGGCGCGAAGCGGGCCGACGAGCCTCAGGCCCTCCGGTCATACCCCCGCAGGCTCGGCCAGGCCCTGCTCGCCCCCCCAAGACCTGAGACGAAGGAAGGAGCGAGCGCCCCGGGCTTTGCCCCCCTGCTGCCGGGGGCGGGGGTGGGGGCCGGGCACCGGGCGTGGAAGAGTCCACGGCTCTGGGGACACGGGGAGTCTCCCGTGGAGCAGCGGCGTCGGAGCCCAGTGGAGGGGCAAGAGCGTGGGGTGGATTCCAGACGACAGCGGGCTCCTCTTCGGAGTAGCCGAAGCGAGGCTGGGCCGTAGACTCGGGCGGGTAGCCATGGGCAGGTTTTGAGCAGGAGAGGGACACGACACGATCAAAACGAATGGCCCGTGTATTCGTTTTGCTAACACATTCACTTACTCTGTGCCAGACACTGTTCTTCGTGCTTCAGAACGTTAACTCATTTTATTCTCGACACATCCTTGTGAGTGGGACCTATTGCTAGTCCCTTCCTTAGAGACAGGGAAGCGGGGATTCCAGAAAGATCTTGTAACTTCCTGAGGTCACAACCAGCAGTGTGGGGAGCTGGGATTTGATGCTGGATGGGTGGTCTCGGCTTGAGCTCCTGGTCACTGTACTACACTGTCCTTGTGGCCCTTCTGGGCTCTAGAGCAGTTGCCCAGGCGGGTCCTGGACGGGGAGGTGGCTACAGGTTGGTAAGTTCTCAGGATACTCAGTGGCCCAGGCGAGGCAGATACAGATGGAGCAGAGTGGACAGCACAGGAGGCCAGGGAGAGAACAGAGTGTGGTTTAGGACAGTATCAGCCGCGTGGAAGGGTGACGGGGCTGGGCCTTGGCAGCAGGAAGGCGGCTTGTTCCTAATCCTTACGCTGCACCACCCTCGCCCCAACCCCTCAGAAATGACGTGGTTCCTCCTCTCAGGTGCGAAGAAGTGGCTGGAGTGGAGGAGAGAGATTGAGCTGGTGTCGGATGTCGCCTACTTTGGCCTCACTACACTGGCAGGTAGCAGCCCCTGGCAGGATCTCAAGGCCCACAACACACGCCGAGCCCAGAGGACAGGAGAGGGGCTGTCAGCAGAGTGAGAAGCTTCTGGAGGTGCTTCTCAGTGCCCCCGGAGCTGGGCCGCAGGCAGCCTCAGGGAGGGAGGGAACCCCGAACCCTTTCCCTAGGTGGGAGGCCAGGCCCTGAGCCCAGGCTGGGGCCTCTGGAAGCTTTGCCGTACCCCTGTCACATCTGTCTGGGACCGTTTCTCCATGGCTGAACCCGTGGCCCTAGAGGGGTCCCAGCGCTGAGCCCTGTCACGGGGCCTGGGCTATGAGGATTGTAGGGACCCAGTACGGAAGTCGCTGGCAGGTCCCTGCCTGTCTCTCTCACCGGTCCCTCTCCCCACAGGCTACCAGACCCTCGGGGAGGAGTACGTCAGCATCCTGCAGGTGGACCCGACCCAGGGCCGAGTGCCCTCGAGGTTGCGCCGCGGGATACTGGTGGCGCTGCACACCGTCCTGCCCTACCTGCTGGACAAGGCCCTGCTCCACCTGGAGCACGAGCTGCAGGCCGATGGTGACGGCGCCTGGCCCTCACGGGGCAGCCTGGCCCCCGGTGCCCGTGGCCAGTCAGGGACAAGACGCTGGATGCGCCGGTGCACGGCCGCCCTGACGGAGCAGCAGCAGGGGACGCTCCTGCGGGCTGTGTTGGTGTTCAGGCAGGGCCTCGGGTGCCTCCAGCGTCTCCACGTCGCCTGGTTCTACATCCATGGCGCCTTCTACCACCTGGCCAAGAGGTTCACAGGCATCACCTACGTAAGTCACAGGTGCCGCCTGGGCCCGCTCTTCTGCAGGGGACCTCCGTCCCCGAGCACAGTCACAGGGCCAGAGCTGAAATCCTCCACTGGAAACGTGGGTCTTGTCAGGCCCCGTTTTGCTGAAAGACCTGTGCAAGTCTGGTTTCCGTAAACCCTGAGGGTAGGGCGAGTCTGTCTTCCTGCCGCCAGCACGTGTGGCCGCCCCGCTCTGTACCCTGAGCGCAGGCCTGGGGCCCTGGCTTCTGGGCCCCGTGCCCACCCTTCCAGGCCGCCCTGACAGAGGGTCAGGTGTAGGGACACCCTGATGGTGACCCTACAGCGACCCTGTTGCCGCCAGCATCCCCGCTAGCCTCCCCTGGGCTCCGCCCGCCGCAGGAGTCTCAGCTGATGCCCTTGCTCCCAGGTTCACCCGGAGGGCCTTCCCTCGGGCCCCCTGCCTCCCCGGAGGTCTCCAGGCTCCCTTGGCAGTGCTGTCCCGGCACGTGCACCCCCTCTCCTCAGCCCAGCCCCAGTCCTCACTGCGTTTGCTCTACCTGTTAGGTAGGGTATTTGCTAAGCTGCTGCCACAGAGGGGCCTAGAAACACGGGCTCAACCCAGTCAGGGGGCTGCCACAGGGCTCTTCCTACACAGGCAACCAGGGCCCTGCCCCTCGGGCTCCAGGCTCTGGCCAGTCTGGCTGACCTGACTGTCCCCATTCCCTGGGGGGAAGGAGACAGAAGCGGGGGGCAAGCAGCTTTCCCTTGGGGGACGTGGCCGGGAGTCCCAGCTGCGGAACATCACCCGGGTAGTCTGGTGCCTTGCTAGAAGCGGGAGCTTCTGTTCCTCCCACGGGGCTGAGTAGCGGGTCTGCCACGCTTGGCGCCCCTCCCATCCCACTGGGCGCCGCTGCTCAGGCTTCCCAGTTTCTATGAGGCTTGGGGGCCTCGTCGTCCCCCCTCTCCCCGCAACACCTTGCCTGCAGCCTAGTGACTGCAGGCTTCGAGGTTCGTGGCCGTCCTCGCTCAATGCTGGGCTCCCGCTGGGGGTGAGGCCCTGAGCTGTCCAGCTGCGCCCCCCCAGCTGCCACCCAGCACAGAGCCTGCCAGGCGCTGCTGCCCCATCCCGCAGCCAGAGAGCAGGCCTTGGCTTCATCCCACAGGGGAGGCCTGGCCCCTGGGCCACTCAGTGCCTCACGCCAACGGATCATGTGACTGTGCCCCCCTCCCCGGGTCCCTGACAGCTCCGTGTCCGCCATCCGCTCGCAGAGGACCCTCGGGCCCGTGCCAGCTACAGGCTGCTGGGGCTCGTGTCCCTGCTGCACCTGGCACTGGCCGCGGGCCTGCAGCTCTACGGCTTCCGGCAGAGGCAGCGCGCCCAGAGGGAGTGGAGGCCGCAGCGTGGCCTGTCCCACCGCAGGTGCGCAGGGCTGTGCCGGGGCGGGGGCTACCCAGCGCCACACGGAACTCAGGCTCAGTTCTGTCCCATCGTCCCCCCTCTCCTGCCAGGAGCTACGCAGAGAGAGCAGTTTCCAGAACCTCGCTGTGCACCCTGTGCCTGGAGGAGCGCAGGTACTCGACGGCCACGCCCTGCGGTCACCTGTTTTGCTGGGGCTGCATCACCCACTGGGCCGACACCAAGGTGAGCGTCCTGAGCGTAGGCCCCCGGGCCACCCCCGCTGCACTGGGCCCGCTGCCTGCCTCCACAGCCACGCTTGTTCAGTGGTGGTGGCGGGGGGGGCTATTTTTAAAAGCCCCCAGCTGGGATGGAGGCAGGGAGCTGCAGTGGCCGGAAGCCTGCTGTGACAGCTCTGCTCCCAAAAGGAAGGCCCCAGCCACCCACCTGGGAACCCTCGGAGCGAGAGCCGCCTGCTAGACCTTGAGATCTCAGGGTGTGGGGTCCAGGGGGCCAGAGCAGAGAGCTCTGCCACCTTACTCCTGCGCTGGCTTCAGGGAGGGGCCGGTCCCGGGCCCCCGTGTACCCCCGCCCCGTCTCTCCTTGGGGCCTGAGGTCAAGCCCGCCTCATTACTGGGATGTCCTGTCCACACGCTGCCCAAGGAGCCTTCCTCAGGGCCTGCAGGGTGCGGCGGCTGCAGCCTCCTCCGTGGGGTCCAGGCCGCTCTGCGAGGCCCCGGGGCATACGCGTGCCTGGCAGGCAAGGGGCTGACCTTCCCGGGCCAGGAGGGACGCGGCCCTGAGGGTGGGGACAGGGGACCCGTGAGCTCACACCCAGAAACTCCAAGAGGTTCAGGGCAGCCACGGTCGTTCCGCAGCCAAGCGCCCTCCCTTCTCCCAAGTCACCCATGGCCTGGCCATCTCCTCGCTGGTCACCGTCCCTGCCCTGCTCCCCAACTGCCTGCATCATCTCAAAAAAATGTTTTTCTGTCTTAATGGAGACATGTGTACATCCGTGTTTTACTGGAGATGCCAGTGGGGGAGGGACCCCCGGGGTTGTAGGGGTCACAATCCGTGACCTTCCTCCTCCCCCCACAGATGGAGTGTCCCCTCTGCAGGGAGAAGTTCCTCCCCCAGAAGCTGGTCTACCTGCGGCACTACCGCTGACCCGACGGAGGGAGGAACCCAGGAGTCTTTCCTGATGTCAGGAGGAAGTTTATTCTCAAGGTTGACAAGTTGACTGTACTTGCACAGAAATCATGAAATTCTCAAGTCTTTTATTCTTTGTCACAGAAGATACTGTGCCAGCCGCCGGGGAGGACAGGCGCTGGACCTGGACCTGGCCGTGAAATGGCTTCAGGGCAGGTTGGGCAGGGCCTGCAAGGCTGCCAGCCAGACAGCTCAGCACTTAAACAGAACTTCCCTCCCTTCCCCAAACCGGTCATTTATATCCAATACCAGGCACACAGTGAGGGCAGGGCCAGACGGGCCAGGACTGAACAAGGGCTGGAAACCAGCAGCCTGCCTTCCCAGCGTGGTCAGTCTTCCAGCCCAAACGACCCACAAACCTTAACCCTCGTCACTGGAGCTGACTTTTGGGGCGAGGGGGCACAGCCCTTCCCGGAAAGTAGCCGTGATTGCCCCCTAACACGTTTGGCAGGTGCCTTCTAATAAATGTCTAGTTTGTTTCCCGTTTTAGAAAATGGAGGGCTTCCCTGGTGGCGCAGTGATTAAGAATCCGCCTGCCAATGCAGGGCACAGGGGTTCAAGCCCTGGTCCGGGAAGATCCCACATGCCGCGAAGCAACTAAGCCTGTGCGCCCCAGCTACTGAGCCTGCGCTCTAGAGCCTGCGAGCCACAACTACTGAGCCTGCGCGCCTAGAGCCCGTGCTCCACAACAAGAGAAGCCACTGCAATGAGAAGCCCACGCACTGCACCGAAGAGTAGTCCCTGCTCCCCGCAGCTAGAGAAAGCCCACACTCAGCAACAAAGACCCAACCCAATGCAGCCAAAAATAATAAAATAAATTTTAAAAATAAAATGGAAGTGTGTGTCCTGGCCTCTGAACACGAGCCGTCTCCTCCTGCTTGGAGCGCCTGGCGGGCTCCAGCCAGCCTGACCCACTGAGGCCACCCATCTCCAAAGCTGGTGGTGGGCCAGCTCGCCTACACACCGGCTCACTGCTGTGTCCAACACACTTCCTGCCACCTTTTTTGTTATTTTCAGGTTTTTACATCTACGTAAGCTGTGCAGAGACAGGACTTTGCCGTAGGCATCCTTACAACAGCAAGTCCACAGAAGTGCTGGTGTGTTAGCGCCGTGAGGTGAACGGAAGCCCGTGTGGAAGGGGCCCTCCCAGGGCCCCTACAGGCCGCTTCTCCCTCCATGTGACTCTGTGGGAGCGGTGATGCAGGAACAGAGACTCCTCGGTGAGCAGAGGTCAGCCCTAGAGGCAGGCCGTGACCGTGGGCCCTGCTCCAGACAGGCAGGAGCCCCAGGGGAGGCTCCACGGTTCCCAAAACCCCTTACTTACACTCACCAAGTGCCTGCAATTTCCCGTATTTCAGGCCTGTACATTTACCAGGGAAACAGTATGAAAAACAAAACAAAAAAAAGTCTAGAGTTTGAACACCTCAGGTGCCACAATGTGGTAATAAAAGTACCGATTTGGACATCATTTACACATGAAGTTAGAATTCAGGATCGGGTACACAAATGGTCTTCATACGGCCTCTTAAAAGCAAGAGGAGCTCAATTTCAGCTATGCAAAACCTGGCAAAAGAAAAGCCACGCGGTAAACACTCGATGTCTGAAACCCGCAGACAGATGGAAACGGCGCTTGCAGCAGGGAGTGGGAACAGACCACCGGTGTCTGGGCCGCGGCCTCAGCAGCACGGCCCGCCCTCCAGGGAGGCCGCACTCCCCCGCCAGGCCCTCACAGTGCCGGAGGCGTAGCGGGTTAGATGAAGACTACAGGAGAGCAGGGACGTTGTCTTTAATGAAGTTGGAATTAAAAAGTCACTCGGTAAAATGTTTACGAGTATTGGTTTTTATCACATCAAAAAAGTTGACATGCAGGTCAGAGCTGTTTCCCTGTAGAAAGTGGGAAGCCATGTGTTAAAAGCCACAGAACTGGCTGCTCCTGCCAGGTGTATCTGAAAAGGGGCTGCTGCATGAGAACACGTTTAAGTTAAAACAACCCTTTACGTATCAAAGAAATGTGTCAAAATAATCTCAAACAATTAAAATATATATATATTTATAATTCCAGGCCCTCAGAAGCAATCATGGTAGTTAAGAACGAAGTTTTGAGTCATCATGATAGAGGCCAACTCAACACATCTCTAGCGAGATGAAATTCGGAAACCGGCATTAGAGCCCAGAGTTGCTGCAGAATCTCCTTCCTCCACGCGCCGGACGGACAGGCGAGCGTCCTCCGGGGCCACGGTGAGCGTCCTGGGAGGCAGCAGCTGGCGTCCTGGCTCCTTCCGCGGGCCCGGCCCCCCGCCCCCGCCCCCCAGCCCACACGGCTGTCGACCCGGCCTGCCCTCTGCAAGGCCAGCGTCTGGACGCCTGACCGGCACTGGAAAATAAATCAACGCGATTCGGTTTAAATGCCAGTTTCTTCAAGAACCTGATATTTCAGTTACAAATAATTGAAGCTCCTTTTTAAAAAGAAAATAACTCCCTTGTAATCAACTACTTTATGTGAGGAAAGAAGACGGCGTCACAGCAACTTGCGGCCGTCCAGGGCCCGCGGAGGGCGGCCGCGTCTAGCTGGCGAACGTCTTGCCCACGTCCTCCTTCCCCTTGTACGTCCTCTTGCCGTGCGTGAACGGGATGTACCGGTACTTGATCATGTGCTGGGGACAGGCAGACGCGTCTCAGCACGGCTTCCCCGTGACCCACCTTCCCTCCAACTCTGAGCCCCACCTTCTCCACATACCGGGCGTGGAGCCAGAGCTCCGGCAGACGCCCCCGTCCCCCCACTGCCCAGCGGAGCCAGCCGAGCTGCTGGAAACCCTGAGGGTGTGGGATGGGCTTCGTGACGCCCTGTGTGCCAGACGGGCTAGCGCTACTGAGCTGGGGACGTGGGATGGGTGGCACCCGGGCCCAGGTGGTTGGGCGGGTGGGGAGGCCAGGATGAAGCCGCACCACCCTGTCTGGCCAGGCCCGTTCTAGGGTGATGCTGGCAGGACACACCGTCCAGGAGGTCCTGGGCCCCGACTGTCCCGCAGTATGATGTGCCAGACCGGAGGGTGTTAACCGGCTGTGCTGTGCTGGCGGGGAGCGAGCACCACACCCATCGACCTGCAGGGAGAGCAGGGGCCACACGGCCCTCCCGTGTCTCGGGCCCGAGCCGGCTCTCCCAAAGCTACCAGTACTAGGTGGCACTGTCTCACGGTGCAGAATCATCTGGGTTTTTACCTTTATTTGCCTCTTCATCGTGATACAGAAAAGCATGATGAAGTACATGACCAGGATGGGCCAGAACACCGGGACGTTGAATGCCTCAAAGAAGGTGCAGACCATCGCCACCAGGATGCCCTTGGTCGCTGCGTGCCTACCGGAAGGAGAGAAGGTCAGAGCCGGACGGCGGCCCCAAGGAGGGTGTGGGTCTCCACTTGCGGAGCAGGGTGGGCGCTGCGTGTGGCGTGTCTGACGTACTACGTGTGACCACGGACACAGCGTTCTTAGTCCCTTGGACACTCGAAGTTTTCTGAAATTACAGAAGTGTAAAACAGCATTGGGGGCCCCGGCACTGCGCAGGCCAGCAGCTGGGGGATGCAGATGCCCCCCATGTGCTGCTGGGGCCCACGTCTAGAAATCCAGTCCCGAGCCTCAAGGCTTGAGTCCCACACGCCCAGCAGGCCATCCCCCAGTGGCCGAGCAGTGTCCCCAGGAGAAGCAGGTGGAGTCAGGCCTCAGGGCCACCCTCCCTCCGGCTTAGGGCCCAACCCATCAGGGTCACAGCCCTCCTTAAAATCCCCCTTGGTCTCCCTTTCCTAGAGAACAAAGGCCACCTCAGAGGGCGGGCAGGACCCGGCCTTGCCCACTGCCCACCCTCCCCCGGCAGCCCTGGGCCCAGCGTTTCACACTCATCCCACAGGGACTCACCAAGCGCCTGCACGGCCACCCCTGCACCAGGAGGACAGGCTGAAGGGCGGCAGCTCTTTGCCTTCACTTTTGTGACAACACAGGACAGACACGTTCACAGACCAGCCCCCCCCGCAACACACACACACACACACACACACACACACACACACACACTAGGGGGTCACCTCCATCCTCCTGTCACATTCGTACTTGTCACAGCGTCACACACACGTGACCGCCTCCAGGAGGCCTGGGGACGCCCAGGCCACCCCGAGGACCGAGTGGGGAGAGAGCGGGTCCCCCTTCGGGCCACCGGGGGGGGCGCCGTGCACAAAGCAGCGTCCCCCCGAGGCCAAGTGTGCCACATACCCGGGACCCGCCTCCCCAGAAGCAGCTTCTTTTCTGCGGCATCGAGGTGCAGCAGTGTTACCTTGGGAGGGGGGTGGGCACTACAAGGCCCCGTGACCCCCCTCCACGCCCAGCAGGCACGCTTCACGTTCTGGGTGAGTCAACGTTGAGAACGAGGAAACACAACAGAACTGGCGTTTCTCCAAGGAGCCTAAGCTGCTGGCTCGCTGGGACCGAAGCGCCTGCCCCCGTCTCACGGCCGTGCGTGGGCACGGGCGTCTTTCGCAACCACCGTTAGGAAGTGACTCACCAAAACTTAAACTCTGGGAGCCTTCGAATGAAGGGCCGGAACTCCTCATTCTGTTTGGTTGGTAACGAGGGGCCATCATCTGAAAGGCAGAATGTCACCCGGAGGTGAGGCACACAGTGCACCTTGTCGTTTCCACCGCTGCCCTTTTAAGGTTCCCTAGAGCTTGTGAACCAGCAGGCCTGATACGTGACATACAGATTGACATCCTTTAACCGGACATAAAATGGGGACCTTCAGCTGATTTAGAAACCGATTCACTGCTTTAGAAAATCTGTATTAGAATTTTTTTTAAGACCACTTTAAGCGATCACGTAAAAATTCAACCACACGCCGATTTTCAGGAACGTGTCAACTGTACAACACGAGGTACAGGGAGGATGAAAGTCCACAGCCCACGAGAGCACACAGGCGGGAGCTGTGCATCCACTCTCAGGGGCACTGGGCTCAGGACGGCCACCCTCTGCAATGAGCCGCGAGCCAGGCCTCGGGCTGAGGCCCCCAAGCCGCCTCCCTCCCCAGTTAACAGATGGAGAAACTGAGGCCCACTGAAAGGGCCTCTTGTTTCCTAACCCCCCAATGCAGCACCAAACGAAAGGGCTGTTTCCTTTGCTATTTTCATCAAATA